GCCTGCAAACCACAGGACAGGATTGTGGACAAACAATACAGAACAGGCTCCAAGTCTTCCTCTACCTGTGTCATCTTTTAACAAGCAGTCTATTAAATAAGGCTTAAATGAGGCAGTCAATTGTAAATCCATCACCCCTGCCCTTCTGTCAATGGTGATTAATTTAATATTTGCTATTCAAATGGTTAAAAGGGAACTTGAATTGGTTTCAATCACCGATGGTCTTATAAACCCAGCTGGGTGATGGGACAATTGAGCCATTTACTACTGCATTGGTTGCAGGTGTTGGCCTGGCCCAGTCTGCAAGTAGCACTCTCTCCTCTGAGTCAGGAGGCTGTAGGTTTAAGCCCTGCGATGGGGATGATGCACTTGGGAGATGCTGTCTATCAGATGAGGTGTTAAACCGAGCCCCAGTCTGCCTGGTGCAGTGCGGGTCAAAAATCCCACGAAACTGTTTGATTAAAAAAAAAGATAGGTTCTGAAGCGCTTTGTGTATAAACAGAGAGGCGTTGGGCACGTTGTATTTCTGTGCCCTGGCTCCTGTCTGAACTTCTCTTGGATGGACTGCGCTTGGCAGCTTGTGTGAACATTGTTGATCAGGGTCAGGAAGAGGGTGTTCTGCACATCTTTGTTGACATGACTCACCTAGACTTGTCGGATGTCTGCAGGCTCTCGTGAGGACTTTGCCTGTGTGTGACATTTGTGCACTGCATTCAATTCAATCGAATCCAGCTTAAATCTCAGATGCTTTTGGAAACGTAATCTGTTTTTGTGTTCCAGTATTGTAAATAAGAAACCACAGGCGCTACCGCTCACTGATCCATTCAACTGCTCCCAGACGCTGTGTCGTGCCTTTGAACTTCAAGGATACAGTGGAGCTTCTGTCCTGAGATGGGCTCCATAATATTTAGATCTATTGCAGGATATGTAGATCTTGCAACCCAAGGTCAAAACATCACAGAAGCTAAATAAAGGAAATAGCAAAATTCACAGTACTACACTTTACGGTAAATCCCGTGAAACGCTTCGAGATGTCCGCCTGACATGATGCATTGTATCATGCATAAGGATTATTTATTTTGAAGTTGCATTTAGCAATGCCTGCTCGCTTTGCCGTCTGTACAGTACAGAGCTGAACAAACCCAAAACCCACAGCACCGTGTGATGAAATTAGTGCACAATACATTGCCTGGAGACTTGAAAGTGTTTGCTGAAGTTGCTCTCTGCTGAATGGAGATTCCCGAGGGGCAGACGTGGGCGCCTAGACACTGGCAGCGTTACTCGTGTCCCTTTTGTATTTGCCACTTCAACATGAAGTGGCTCTGGAATGTCATTTCCCTCCCTGTAGCTGAGTGCAGCTTATAATATAATAATAATCCTTGCATTTGATACAGCGCCTTATCACATTGTTCAGACAAAGGGCTTCTCAGAATATATTGTAAAGTGAATGGACTGTATATTTTGTGGGTGAAACGCGGCAGCCAATTGCATACAGCAGTGTCCCACAAATAGCTGGGGATTAAGTGACCACATTTTTGTGAATTTTTTTGGGGGGTGATTATTATCCCGAAAAGTGATCCACCAATCGATTAACAACTAGGTTCCTACTTAACTCTAGGTCAGGGAGTATGTGTGTGGAGTAAGGAAACTTGCCTAAAGTTTGCCTCCACTAGGAACCAAACCTGGGTCCTCTCACTTACGAGACAAGTTCTCTGAACACTACACTGCAGGACTACACCTCTCCCCCTTTACACAGCAGGCGGATTCCAAAGCACCGATGGCAACCATCAAACATATCTGTACAATTCTCCACAATCCTGACTGCTAAATGTCATTTGACCTATTCAGCCAAGCCTCACCTTTACCTCTGGATCAGAAGGCTGTGGATTTAAACCCACATCAAGTTGAAGCTCACATCAGGTGGGCTACTCTCTTCAGTGTTGGATTTGTAAGGTCCGTTTCATCCCGCTCTGTGCAGCAGGTGGAATTCTGTGAATGGTCACAAGGACACAAGCGCCGTTTTTGGAAGGAATCCCGGAATTGAGGAGCTTCTCAGTTGGCTGGATTTCCCCCCCCTCTCTTACCGCCTCCTATGGAAATATCGGGAAGGCTTAGTCTTACAGAAATAAAAACAGAAGTCACTGAGAACAGCAGCAGGTCAGGCAGCATCTATGGAGAGAGGAAAATGAGTTAGTGTTTCAGGTTGATGACTAAAGGTTGCTGGGAACACTCAGCAGGACATCGACCTAAAACATTAACTCACGTTCCTCTCCCCATAGATGCTGCCTGACCTGCTGCTGTTCCCAGTGACTTCTGTTTTTATTTCAGATTTCTACCTCTGCAGTAATTTGCTTTTGGTCTTGCAGAGCTCGCTAATGAAATCACTTTTAAGCATCTTTTTCCCACGGGGCCAATGTTGCTGAGGAAAACAATGAGAAACCATAAAAGGCTGTGAAACTAAAGCTTTAGCTGTTAAGCTGTGCTTGCCTTTCACACAGTAAAAGTCCCGTTTTATATATTCCTGAAAGCCGCATCGTTTTATTCCCTGAAACAGAGCGTTGTGCTTTTTCTCTGCTTTTTTTGCTTCGGGAAATAAATAACGCTCTTCAGTATCTATTAAGGCAAGGCTCTTTTCGGTGATTACATTTTAAGTGTGTTTACTTTGACTTCACGTCTGTAGTAGCCACAGATACCGCTGGGAAACATTAAGTGGAACTGCGTTAAAGAAAAGGGTCATAAGAGTCACTTTGCCCTATAAAGCTGCTGTAAAACGAGGGGGAAGGCAGTGGAGCAATCATCTTTCAAATTGTCAGGATAGTATAATAATAATTCTTGTTCAATATTAATAATAACAATCCTTGCATTTGCTATAGTGCCTTATCACATCGTTGAGACGTCTCAAAGTGCTTTAAAGAATATATTGTAAAGTGAATTGACTGTACTTTGCAGGCAGTCATTTGCTCACTGGGTGACCACATTTTTTAGAGGGCACAGAGGGGATTATTATTATAACAACAAGAACAACAAGATTCCATTTATAAAGCGCCTTTCACGTCAGGAGGACGTCCAGAGAAGGTGAGACAAATCAAGGAATGTTGAACGTAAGAAAAAATGATGACGCTTTCACTTGATACAACAGCTTATCACATTAGGAAGACATCTCAAAAGCCATTCACCAGGCACACTGTAATGTGCAGTGACTGTGTACTTGTAGGCAAACTCGGCTGCCGATTTGCACTCAAGTGTACGACAAGCAGCGCTGGAGTCAATGACCGGTTATATCTGGAGGAGAAACTCCTTTCTCTTAAATTTGACATGATGTCTTTTATGTCAGGTGGACGTCCCAAAGTGTTTCACTGGATTTACTGTAAATTGTAGTGAAGTCAGTTTTCTCCTGGTGTCCTGGCCAACAATCCCCCCCTCTCCTACCTCAGATAAAATTGGCCTTACACGTCATGGCAGTTTGTGTGGACGTTGCTGTGTGCACATTGGCTGCTACATTAAGCTTCAAAATATACAGTAACTAGACTAGATAGTAAATCTTGTGAGACACTTTGGGATATCATCACAAAATGAAAGGCGTTATACCAATTGCAAGAATTATTATTATTTAGTGACTGTGTGTTTGATATCCTTGAGGCGTACTCATTACTTCAACAGGAATGGCTATGTCGTGCCTTAATGACTGGACTTAAAGGGTAAGGGGAGGGGGTAAAGGGGGAGGGGGCAAAGGTCAAGTAGGCCATCAATCTTTCAGCCTGCTCCCCATTCATCGGTATGCATCGCTGGACTGAACGCGAGGGCCTTCTCTTTCTTAAAGGGCCATTGTCGCCCATTATCACCTTGTAAATCACGGACTGTGAAGTGCTGTGGGTGACAATAAGCGAGTCAGTAAATTGAGGATCGTTCTCCCATCCTCAGTGTAATGACATTGTTACTGCCATTCGCTGGGCTGAGGTTCATCAAGAGCACAAGTACCCCAAATTGTTCACTGCCCACAGCCTTCTGTCTCAGAGGACAGAGTGCCAGCAACTGAGCTAAGGTACATCTAATAGGGAGTTTAGGAGGAATTTCTTTACCCAGAGGATGGGCAGCTGTGTTTGAAGCAAATAACTTCAGTGTAATTTAAGAGAATACACGGGGTAGAAGGGAATAATAACCCTTACTGGGGCAGTGGGATTGACTGGACAGTCTGCTCTAAGAGCCGAATGGCCTCTTTCTGCGCTGTAGATTTCTATGATTCCATAAAATGGGGTTGAATGATTGATCATGGTTTTGAAACACAAATCTTATTTTTTTTCAAAAAAAAAGGAATTTTGCTGTGCGCAATTGGCTGTCACGTTTTGTCCACAAAATACCCAGTCACTCCATTTTACAGCATATCTTGGGAAGTGCTTTGAGACCTCTCAATGACATAAGGTGCGATATCAGAGGCAAGAATTATTATTACTATATTATATAACTTTTAAGCATACTTCCTTCTCCCCCCAAATGTGGTAGTTTAATTTGAGATTATTAGTTGGCAAGAAACAGCTGTTTTGTGCGAATTGGAATGGCTTGCTGTAATTATATAGTACACAGTAGGCTGTAGATGTACAGAAAGCGGAGGTTTGGTAATTAAAACAAGGAATAGTGGGATCTCAATTTCACAATAGAGACCCAGAGAGGAGTGAAGCCGTGTTACTCTCTTATTTAAAGGCGCAGAGGGGTCCCCACATTCGTTCAAAACAATTTCAGTATATCGTTATATGTAGATATAAATTCAAGAAACTCCCCTCAACTTCCCTCTCCCCCCACCCACACACTCAGTCACTTCCTGCACATCTTCCACCTCTCCACCCCACCATCTTTCCCTCCACCACGGCATCTCCCCCTCTACCCCCCAACCCCTTCCTGTCTTCAGCTCCTGGCTCAAACATATGTCTTCATATGTGGCCATCTCCTCCTTCTCCCTCTGCGCTCTCATTTTCTAAGCATCCGATATGTAAAACACTCCCAAGATGTCGCCCTACGTAATGGAAGTACATAAATGCAAGTTGTTGTTGTGTGGGTGTACACTATGTAATGTACCTGTATATATGTGTTGAGTCTTCTCTTGCCATCTTTGCCCCTCTATCCCCAAACGAAGGACAAACAATTGTTTCCTTGCGTTAAGCAAATCCATCTGCCTGGTGTTGTGGCCCAGGGCTGCTTGTAAACCAGGAATATTTCTCGCCCCACACGGGGAGCAATGTTTTGTTTCTTGCTTCTCCTGCCTCCCTGCTGACTTTGTTGTGCTCTTGACTTCCAGTAAATATGTATTGTTCAAAGCATTTTCTTTTTGGACTGTGCAGCAGCGCTTTGGCTAATATGTCCCACCTGGGGTAAAGAGGCTCCTGCCAGGAACGAACAACATTTCCCCCCGCCCCCCACTACACTCCCTCCCCACTTCCCTACCCCCCACCACCCCAACCCTGTATAGCTCAGCTGGAGAGCACCTGACTTGAGATTGCAAAGCGTTGAGTTTTGACCCCAACTCTGACGCATTGTGGGGTCCAGTTCTGCTTTCTTGGCTTGCCTGCAAAATAAAAGTCACTGATTTGTGGTCAGCGGGTGTCTGACACATGCCGGACACCCATCAACATGTTTAAGAGTATCCAAACCAAGCTGAACGTTCCATGTGTGTCACCTATAATTGAAATTCCTGTGTTTGAGATGACTAGTGAGCATTCTCTCTCTTCCTCTCTCTCTCTCCCCACCCACTTCAAAGGGAAGCATCTCCTTACCTAATTCCATTATGTGTATTAAGTGTGCGTCTCAGTGCGGACACTAATCTTGACAACAATTGCTGTAATGTATTTTTGACCATGCCATCGGCCACCCTTCCCCTCCCCTCTCTTTCCCCCCCCCCACCCCGACCCCAGCTCGAATCTCAAGTGCTGTACACTGTCCAGCACCTTGGGACGTCCTCCTGACGTGAAAGGCGCTATACAAATGTAATCTTGTTGTTGTTGTTTGACACATTTTGACGTGAAGTTCCTTCTCTTGGTTGACAAACAGTTACAGAGCCTGATGACCGAGCGAACAAGTGTTTTGTAAATAATGATCAAGGGGTAGGGGAGAGGAATGGATTACAACAACAGCAACTTGCATTTATATAGCACCACGCACAAAGGGGAGCACCCCAGAACGCCTGGACTGATTGGAGTTGATGGCTCTGCAGGATCTTACAATAGCCCGATGGGCAACAAACGAGCTTGAAACCTGAATTTCTTTGTGGCAGAGCAATGTCAGACATGAGCTTGTAAGTCATAAAGGGTCAAATGTCCATAAACAGGACCGAAATTGCATGACTGGCGAAAGGATTTGAAAAAATTTGAAAAAATTCCGCCTGGGTCTGGGATTTACCAGGCCTTTGAGACCAGCAGTTCTTAAAAGCAACTTCCAAAACGAAATAGAGTTTCAAGATTTCAAGATTTGGCGTTAAATCTGCCAAATCCTGCCCACTGTGCATGGTTAGAATGGCCTCCATCTGCGTTCTAGGATTCTATGATTCTATGATTTTGCTAAATCTCACAATTTATCCATTCATGCTTGAGAAACCAACAACGACTACACCAACAACTTGCATTTACATAGTATCCAAGATACTGTCTCGGGCTTGGGTATGTAGGTAGCCATTTAGCCCATCATCCAAACAAGCCAGCAATAAAACTTGGCTAATAGGGTGCTCTGTAAATGTTCTTACAGGAGGGAGGGGGAACGGAGCGAGGGATGGAACTGAAAAGGTGAAGGAAATTGATGTAACATGCTGGTAGCTCAGCAAAACTGGAACTTTAAAGGTCCCTAAGAGGCCACAAGGAAATATAAAGAACTGATCCCTGCGACTGAGGAAATCAAAAGGAAGTACTGTTGAAAGGAAGATTGGTGCGTAATTATTGTTTTACAACAAACTGTCAGGTGCCCCAGTGAACCAGCTGGGGATAGAACCCAGCAGTTCAGATCCTCCCCACCCCCTCACCGTCTGTGCTGAGATGTAACACGACAGAGGCGGTTCTGCACCCCCTGGCTGGAGGGTGAGGAGTGGGTGATTCCTGATCGGGGAGATTGATTGGAGGTTGGGGGGGGGGCAATGGATCAGTTTGGATTCTTACTCTTTATTTCCATTCCCCCAGCTCCTCCCTCCCCCAATCTCCCCCCTCATCACCACTGGAAGGTTTTGCTTGTGTCAATGCTGAGTAAGATTGACATCAGTCTGATTCAACCGTGTTTTTTGCGTCAGCTTTTGATTTAGGGCTTTATCATATTGTGGAGAGTACTGGGTAAGATTTCACTATGAAAATGTATTTCTGTAGGTGAGTGCAGCAGCCAATTTGCATATGTCATGCAAACAGCACTAATAATACACTAGTAATATAGAATAAGCCTCCCATCTGATAGCCCCTCATCATATGATCAGGATGGCTTAATCGCTTCACAGGATTTTACTATAAAGTAGAGCGACGGTGGATTCTATAGGCGAGTGCAGCAACGTCCTGCATTGAAGCATGGAGTGGTTGAAGTGGCCGATTTTCACTGTGTCGTGTCGTTGGCCAGTCTGTGTAATCGACTCTCCATGTCCCCTTTGCTTCTGTGGCAGGTCCTCTTTGCTCTAAACCAGACTCTCCTGCAGCACGAGAGCCTCCGAGCAGGCAGTCTGCAGGCCCCCTACACCACCGAGGATCTGATCAAACACTACAATTGCGGGGACTTGAACGCTGTCATCTTCAATCACGACACATCACAAGTAAGGAGCCCGAGCTGTTATTTTGTTGACATTTTCAATCATGTCAAAAGGAGTGCAGTGAAAGGGTGAATTGAGATTCAGAGATTGGAGAGGGGGCGGGGGGTGAGCGCGGAGGGGGAGAGAGAAGGGGAAGAGAGGCAGCGAGAGAGAGCAAGTTACTTGAAAGACTGGATGCCGGCTAATTGCAAGTTTATTGTGGACTGCAGAGGGCAGGGCTAATGTGGTCTGTCAACTCGCTTTGCGTTTGCTTTCTGTAACTGTTTTGATCTGCAACTAAATCTGCATCTGTATGTGACCAGCCAAGGTCCCTCTAAGTCACGAGCTCTTGTCAGCAGGCTGACGTGGGGCGAAATGCGCCCACATCAGTTTAGCTGCTGAAACTAATATGAAGCTGGCATGGGAGCAGGCCTCAGAAATTTGTTGTTTGGAATAATATTTACAGGGTTTCCGAAAAATTGGAGCCGAGCCTAACAAGCGTTACATGAGTTGGTGGAGTGTAGCCAAACCAGCATGGTTTCTGATTAGATTACTGTATGCTCTGGCACTGTATCTCGACTTCAGTCCTTGCTGTCGCTTGCAATTTGGAAGCGCATCTAAAATCCTTTGATGACGGCAGTAAAAGTTTTGTATCATTATTAAAAAAAACACGATTGTTTTTTTTCCTCCTCTCTCCGGGAGAAGTTCATTAATTGGGGCCCTGGTTCCGCAGCCTGGAAGTCTACATTATTTTCCACTCGGTGCCACTTTTTTTGTGTGTGTGGTTTTGACAGGTCTGAGCGCCTCTCCTGCCCAAGGCTTTCTTTCCACTGAGCTTCCAATTCCTCGTGTCAATGACCCTGGTGATGGGTGGTGAATGCTGGGGTTCTGAACATTGTGAATGGAAGAGTCCTGGTTATAGCGCTCGCCTCGCAAAGCGAGAGGACCAAGGTTCAAGTCCCGGGCAGGTCAGAGTGAAACCTTAGCCAAGTTTCCTTACTTCGCATGCCTCGGTTTACCTAGCAGTAATTAGGAACCTATTTGTTAGTGGATTGGCAGATCGCTTTCTGGGGGTAATAATCCCATGAAAATAATTAAATAAACATTGATAGCAAAGCTGTGAGCTAGAGATCCAGCCATCCCTAGAGTGTCTCCTCACCCTTGGGAGGAAGGTGGGGGGGGGCATTAGATTTAATGAAAATGGCACAGCTGACTATTTCGCCCCCCCAGTAGGTTACCCCACGAAACAGCAAGTCAGGAATCAGAAATGACTGGGCTACGTGAGAGCTTTCAGTTTCTCTTTAAACTCACTCGCAGTCCATCCGACAGCTACAACAACAACAACTTGCAGTTACATAGTACCCCTCGCGCAGGTTAGCGTCCCAGAGCACTTGTGCAGTCAGTGTAGTGACCGCTGAGATAGCGAAAGCTTTGAGTCAAACCCACTCAAAGTGTGTTAATTATTCCCAATGAAATAGTGTCATTAAAGGAGTCAGTGTGTGTGTGTGTGAGTGAATGTGTGTGAGTGTGTGTATATGTGTGTGTGTGGTGGTGGGGGTGTGGGGCTTCTCTCATTTAATGGTCTTTAAATAGTTATGTCCCATTTAATTGTTTAGAGCTGTGAAACATGACTGTTTCAATGCACGATCATGTGCAGCGAGTGGCATTTTGTGTCCCTTCGAAATCAGCCCACTGCAAGAGGTTTCTGGAAACGCAGCCCATCATTTTGAAATTAACTTGTCAGAAGTCCTGACACATTTACAGCAACCCGGTTTGTCGTTTTCTGTCAGTAAACACAGGCTTTAAATGGGGCCGTTGTCTTAATGCAGCCGCATTGCACAGCCAAATAAGTGCCCTCTATTCAACAGACTTAAGTTGGGTTTGTGGTTTACTAACCAGAAAATGATGGTTTGGGGTCTGAATGTATATTTCCTTGACAAGGTATCGCTGCTGTTTAAAAGAAAACTCTGGAAAATTCATTTATTATTTGTGCCCATGTATATAAAATAAATATATGGATATAATGTATATTATTCCAATGATTTAATTAGCCCAAGAACAACTCAGTTTTGTTTAATCGCAATAATAAGAATGTATAGCACTGGAAAAGACTAGTGATGTTTGACACTTTGACACTTTTTCGATCTGTTGACAAAGTAGTGAAAAATAATCCTTCCATTCGCTGTAGCCTCCTATACGTCATTAGCAGATCTAAACGGGATTCACTGTGAAGTGAGAAGTATTTTGTAAGCAAAATGAGGCAGCCGGTTTCGTGCAACTTGAGCCATGTTCCACGAGCCATCATAAAGCTATCTCACATTAATAATAATTCTTATTATAATAATTATGATTATTGATCAGAGTAATTATAATTAATGTGAGATAATAATTATTCTCTTCCTGCTAAGAATAATAATAATCCTTGCATTTGATGTAGCGCCTTATCACGTCACTGAGACGTCTCAAAACGCTTCACAGAATATACTGTAAAATGGAGTGATTGTGTGTTTTGTGGGAGAAACGAAAGCTCGCTTGGGGAAGAGACACGACCAGGACTGTGGATGGAGACAGTCTGAAGTGAAATGGGTGAATTCAGTTATTGCAGCAGGAAGCAGGAATTTAGTGGGCTGACATGAAAGAGAAGCGTCTTAGTATCTCGTATCAGCACTCTAAGCTTGAGGTGATGATCATGGCCTTGTGCATGATAAATCACAAGGAAAAGAAGGATTCAGGTCTTTAAAGGGTTTTTTTCCTGGCATTTTGCATTAAATTGATGGAAGGCTTGAGGGAATAACTTGATAAGTGAGAGACAGGGTTTACTGAGATCATTATCCTGCATCTCTCGGTGAAGTGAGTTCATTTTTACTGCATAAATCAACAGGAAAGTTACGGGAGGTGTGGTATGGCACAAATTGTCCAAATGTCATGAAATGTTAGAGGAGCAGTGTCAGAGGTAGAAAGGAGGTTTCTCAATGGTTTTAAGATAATTTTCACAGTAAAATGCTTGCTCTCAACTGTTTTGAACACAACAGCAATGAGGATAAAAAAAAGTGTATATAATTATAATAGTAATAATAATCCTTGCATTTGATACAGCGTCTTATCACATCGTTGAGGGGCCTGAAAGTGCTTCAGAGAATATACTGTAAAGTGAATTGACTGTATTTTGTGGGCAAAACGGCAGGTGTGGTTATGTCACAAATTGTTCAAAAGTCCAGAAATTGATTGTTTTGTGAACAAAATTATTTATGGCTTAAAATTGATTGGGACCTGCTCACTCAAAGTACATTGAGGTGTTTCATGTTCAGCTCTTGTCCATACAATGTAGCTGACAATAAGGGCATAGACTATGCTGTAAGGACAATAAGTAATCTTTTCATTTGCTAATAATCTAGTGAATTTGATTAACGCCTTTCAAGTTAGGAGAATGCCTCAATATCATGAATTGTATAATATATAATAATCCTTACATTTGATACAGAGCCTCATCACGTCTTTGAGACATCTCAAAGCGCTTCACAGGATATACTGTAAAGTGTATATTTTGTGGGTGAAATTCTAAGAGCTGTTCTTGGAAGTAATAATAACGGTTTGGGTGTTTGGTTCACAGCTGCCTAACTTTATCAACACAACGCTCCCGCCACATGAGCAGGTGACCGCTCAGGAGATAGACAGCTATTTCCGCCAGGAGTTAATCTACAAGAGAAACGAAAGGATGGGCAAAAGGGTGAACGCACTTCTGCAGGCAAATCCGGACAAAAGCTTTTTCTTTGCATTTGGAGCAGGTATGTGGAGTGATCCTGTATACCCCCAGGGCCTTCGCCCCATCCCAGCGCCTTGGGACGTCCTCCCGACCTGAAAGGAGCTATATAAATACAATTTGTTATTGTTGTTGTTCTTCTTGTATTGCCCCATTCACCTGGTGGAGTAAAGAAAAATCTGAAGAGCATGGGTTAAGTAGAATCACATAGAGCTACACAGCATGGAAACAGGCCATTCGACCCCACTAATCTGTGCTGGTGTTTATACTCCACACATCCCCCACCCCTCCTATTCCCTTCTCCGATACCCCTCTATTCCCTTCTGCCTCATGTATGCAATAATGCCTTTTACTTCAACTACAGCCTCCAGCAACGAGTTCTTGAGGATCTGCCTTGTGGATCTTGTCCATAATACCTCAGGGGGCAGTTGTAGGCAGAGGTGCAGGTTAATGACATTGGCTCCTTAGATTGCTCTTTATTGCTCAGTGGCTACTCCTCAGATGCTGGCTTGCTTGTTGGGACATTTGTCTCCAATTTCAGGACCAAAGTAGTTGGACTGATGGATTGCTTTCCTCTGAAAGCCATTCAGCAGACGGGAAGTTTGCTACCTAGCAGCAAGGGCAAGAAGTGAAGCTGGTGCTATTATTAACATTAATGAATCCACTTTTCCTTCTTTTACAAACGCATTGAGCAGGAGATGAGAACAATAACCAGGGAGAGATTATTGGGTTATGGGGATGGGTGGTGGGGAGGAGGGGAGAATTATTACAAACACTCAACATTTGCGCTCTGAGCATAACACAGACTCCACCTGAGAACAGTGCTCACCCTGAGTACAAGGTACATGTGTCCACCACTGTTTGTGGAACGCTGCTGTGCGTAATTGGCTGCTGCGTTGCACCCACAAAATGCACAGTCAATTCACTTTCCAGTGTATCCTATGAAGCGCTTTGAGACGTCTCGAAGACGTGATAAGGCGTTATGTCAAATGAAAGGAATATTATTATCATCATTATTGTGTATGACTGTGAGGTAGAGGGCAAAGAGGGACCAAAGTCAATTAGTTGCACCAACCTGGTTCTTGCTCGAGCTTTGAGTGTTTAGATTGCAAGAGCACAGCATCTGTTACAGTTTTATATGTGTATATATATATGATGTATAAGATAACTAAAACATAGTATTCTCCTAAGCAACGCCCTGTCATGCGATTAACTAAGATTTAGAATAATCCTTGCATTTGATACAGTGCCTTTCACGTTGGCAGAAAGAATTTCACAAGATTTTACTGTGTAGGGCAGCGACTGTGTATTTTGTAGGCAAACGAAGCAGCCAATTTGTGCACAGCCCTGCCTAGAGCCGTGAAGGGAACAACTGATTTTATCCAGGGAGATTGTCGGCCAGGACACCGGAAGAAACTCCTTTCTCTTTTTGAATAATGTTGCGGGATATTTAACGTCCATCTGACCAGATGTCCATCTGAACAAAAACATCTGAAATCGCCACATTTGGTGCCACCAGTGAACTTTTTTACAGCTTTCTGCAGCGTGATAAGTTGTTGAGCCAGGTTTGTTTTACACAAGACAGAAGTTGCTGGAAGCTGTGGCAGACAGTGTGACACATAGTTAGGGGGGGCAGCCAATTAATGAGGTCATTTCAGCCCCTGACTCAAAAGTACTCAGTGTTTGAAAGTGTTTTTAATTTTGATCCTTTCCTGCTCTCTAATAGCACTTTGAATGCATATTCATCTTTCGCAGGTCTTTGCTTGAAAGATAAATATTTCAGCAACTTAATGGCTCAGTTGCCATGATCTGGCTCTTGCTTTTGTTGGGAAAGGCAAAACATTTGCTATTAAGAAGCTCGAAGGCAATAAATACTGCCCTGAAAAGTCTGATTAATGGCACTTTGTGAGCTGGGCAAGAGGTTTAATGCTTAACAGCACCACTGGTGTTCGTTGGGGGTTAGCTGTTTTGCTGCATAAAGCTTTGCCTCAAGGTTTCTGTCTGTTCACATCTGGCTAAGGTTTATAAAAGAAGATGTAAAACTAACATAAGGATATGCATCGTCATATTTCTATATCGAACGCAAGGATTATTATCGCATTATCTGAGCGCTGATTGAGTGGAGGTTACACAGTCACTTTTGGTAATCACTTGTTATTGACTTCACTCTGAGGAATCCTGTGATTCGAGTCTCGTTCCGAGGAATCCTGATTGATTTTTCCAAAATGTAATGTCTTAACTGCTGCTCCTGATAGGATCAGCTAACTCAGCACACACCAGGATTCACACCTGCGACCTGCAGTCTGTATAGATCAACTCTGCCTTCACCCACTCGACTATCAGAGGAACCAAAGTGTTTTCTCGTGATACTATAACATAAGGCAACTTTGATTTGTACGATCGGTGGAGCAGTGTGGATCCCACGCCACAAGAAATAAACGGGGTCTAACTTAACTTGATCACAGCACCACACCAGCAACATGTGTGTCAGCCTGGCTCAGTTGTCACTTGATCGGGAATGATGTGGGTTCAAGTCCCAGCATTTGGCGCCTGAGTTTACAATCCAGCCCTGCTTCAGTGCAATCCTGGGGGAGCGTCAGCTTGATAGAGGTGTTGGCAGATCAGTTTCACTTCTCATGCAAAGTGTTGCATGAGAAGTGAAACTGATCTGCCTGTTCAGATGGAGGATAAAGATGGAGGATCCCGAGATGCTATTAAAAAGAGAAGGGAATTTTTCCTGCTGTCCTGACCAATCTCTGATTGATCCTTCACTGGCTGTGTGTGGGACATTGATGTGCAAAATACTGCCATATTTGTCTACAAATGCAGTTTGTCTACAAATCTATTATCTGCAAGGCTCAGACACGTTAGAGGTTAGACTCGCTGTGTCAAATTGATACTACACTCTACAATTTAGGCTTTGCCTCCCATCTCCTCCCACCTTTTAAAACTCACCTTTCAGACCCATCTTTTCAGCTGTGCTTTCCATCACGTTTTTCCCCCAACCCCCCAACCCTACACACACACATTCCTCAGCTCTTCCCCCCCCTCCTCCCCACACCTCACCCCCACCTCAGGCTCCCAGTCAGCTGTGTAGAGGACTTTGAGACATCCTCCCAACATGAAAGGCGCTGTGTAAATGTCAGACTGGTTTTTGTTACAGAACTTTCCAAACGCGTTAGCACGAAAACAAAACGCAGAACGATTTGCACTGTAATTTTTAACCCCAACGACATGAAACCAAGCTGAATCTCACAGAGATGGGACGCTTAAAGAGTTAATATCTGAAGAAGCTTATCTGCTGAAATGGGAATTGAGGGGGGGTCACTTTTGGTGCAGTCCATTCAGTCCATTACCTCCATTCAGTCAATTACCCCGGAAGGAAATGGCTTTGGACAATTAGCAAGAAACTCCAGTAATTTTTAGAGGGATTTTATCTGCTGATGGCTGCTCAGCCATTATCGATATCCAAGAACCTTTATTCTTTAACATGTACATTGTATGAGACGGGCTTTTCAATGCATTTGTTTTAAAAACTCCAACACACTTAGCCAGCTGTTAGCGTAACACCTGCACACTGCTGGTTTTACAGCAGATTCTGTTTGGGGAGTGTAAATCGGAACTCCCTTCTCCAGTGACACAGAACTGTGAGTGTCTTTCCCCCCCTTTCTGTAATGTTGGGGAAATGGGAGGACAGAAATCCAGTATATTGGCCAAAATGGGAAGTGTTGCTACATCTGCACAGCACAGGTTGATTCAATGGGTCATAACCCACCGTTAAGTGTTTCTGATCCATTGAGGCAGATATCAGCCTGTCACAATCAGCAGCACTCTCGTCTGCAGCTCAGAAGGTTGTGGATTGTGGAAACTCCTCCTTGGACCTCAGCCAAAACACTAGGATGACAGCGAATGAAAGTTAAAGTGGAAATATTGGCTGAATTTTGCCCTCGGCCCTCTGAACAAGCACTGAACCCAAATGAAATTAGAAGCTGGGTTTCCGGGGGATGTGTAGGGAGTGGGTTTAGAGACCACCCATTGGGCTGGGAGATTGGGATTTGGGAAACCATCGATAAGCCTCCCCACAATATGAAATAACGTGCGGCACCAAGAGGCTTTAAGATTAGAAAAGCCACGTTTGTTGAAACCTGATTGTCTGTCTGTGAGGCAGCTTAACTGATTTACTCAGATAACTCCTCTGTGATTTGCCTCCAGTCTGTGAAATGGTTGAGCTGGCTACCTGTGGCTCCTGTCACTAACCCCTTCAGCAATGTGGCACGGATTCACCTGGCAAGTGGAGAGCAATTGAATTGGTTTTGCTGCCGTTCTGTTCTACAGCTTGTGCGCATTGCCAGGAAGCCAAAAAAACAAGATTGTTTTCCTCATCGCTGCTTGTCAATGGACCTTTGTCAGTGCCCACCCACCCCACACACGTCTGCTTTATTAAATCCCCCCTCCCCCCCACCCCGGACCAGTTGCCTTTCTGCCAACTCACAAGGTGGGCTTGCCCTCGTGTTGTGTACATGGTGATGGTGGGCAGCCAGTGAGTGGGCATGTAACACTGCACTTTCTTCAAGCCCTCTGACCACCACATTGCGATGCACTAAAACCCCATGGAGGCACAACAACAACAACAACAAGATTCCATTTATAAAGCGCCTTTCACGTCAGGAGGACGTCCCAAGGCGCTGCACAGTTGGGTCATGACCCGAGCAGGGGGGAAATGGTCAGGGTGAGGGGACAGAAGGGAGGGAGCGAGGAGGGGGGAAATGGTCAGGGTGAGGGGACGGAAGGGAGGGAGCGAGGAGGGGGAAATGGTCAGGGTGAGGGGAGGGAAGGGAGGGAGCGAGGAGGGGGAAGAGAGTTGAGAGGGGAGCTGAAGGCTCGGTCAAAGAGAAAGGTCTTGAGACCGGCCTTGAAGGAGGAAAGGGAGGAAGCGGCGAAGGCACTGGGGGATAGAGTTCCAGAGCCTCGGGGCTGAGAGGTTGAAGGCCCGGCCACCGATGGTAGGGCGATTGGGGCAAAGCC